AAAAAAAAAAAAAAAAAGATTGTTTTTGTGTAGAATTTCATGACAGTGTATCTCATGTGGATTCATGTTTATACAGTCTAATGCTCTTTTTCTGTTTGAATTTTTTTTTTAGTGAGGCATAAATTGCATAAAGTATAAGCTCAGTTAATTTTTACATACACATATATACCAGGTTACCGCTGCCTAGTCAAGATTCATAATATTTCTAGCAAGCTACAAGGCTCCCGGTGCCCCCTCCTAGTCCATACACCATAGGCTAAAATTACTCTATATTCGTTCAGAGCTCTTTCGTGTTGAGGATACATATTTCCTTTCTGTTGTAGGAAATTCTCAGCAATTATCTTTTCATGTATTGCTTCTATACTCTTCCGTTGGAAAATCCATTAGACGGACATTGCAGCCTCAATCTGTGTTGTGTCTCTTAAGTGCTCTCTTCTATTTTTAATCTTTTTCTCTGCCTGTATTAAGTTCCAAGTAGTTCCTTAATGCTACCTTTAATTCACTAATTCACTTCACTGTGTCCAGTCTAGAGTACATCCCATTGATTGTTTCTATTTCAATGACTATATTTTTCATTTCCAAGATTTCTAATTAGTTCTTTCCTTCCTACGTGATATTACTTTGTTTCATTTCCGTACACTGTTTTTTATCTCTTGTTCTTGTGATGGGCCTTTTACCTTCATTTGTATTTCTGAGCATCCTCAAAATACTTATTTAAAAATCTTTGGCAGGCTGCACTAAATGAGTTGCATCTGAAATATTTTTTTTCAGTGATTGATTTTGTGGTTTTCTTTCTTAGCATTAAATTTCTTCAAATGTTTTGGAATTGCATTTTGTAATTTACTTTTCAGTGGAAGGCTTTTTGTTTGTGTTTCAATGTCTTCCTGCCCTCCCTTTCCCCACTCCCAGTCTAGGGATTTTGCTGCTGATATTGGAGATATTGGTAGGATGCAGTGATGGAGACAGAGGGGGGCTTGGCTCAGATCCTGGTACTAAGGCAGTGTTTTGTACCCCACCTCCTAGACTACTGCAGTTCTTTGTAAAGCCATAGTCCTAGTCAACATGTCTTCATTGCCCACTTCATCAGCCCCCTATTTTGAGTAAAGGCACTGATCCAGCCCTGGCTTTAAGGGGAGATTCTGATTTGCAAATCACTTCAACAAATCACTTTTAGTTCTCTTTACTCCAAAGAAAACCACTGCATTCTCCCCGCTGATCACCCCCTCCACACAACACACACACCTGCTTCTGGGTCCAGAAACAGCAAGGCAGGTACTGCTCAACATTTTTGAGTTTCCATACTTTCTGTTGCACAGACGTGTTTCTTATTTGACCTCAGTTGTGTCTATGACATTGTCTCATTTTGTTTAATATACTTTATTTATGCTCTGCAGTGCCAACAGGGTTTCTGAACTCACCCTACAGTGTTAACCCAGAAGCGCTATTAATTGTAAAACTTTTCTCTTCATGGAATGATAGTCAAAATATATTAAAAAGAAAGGAATGGGTCTGGAATTGATTTGTTTGGAGGAGAACATGCATTCGTTACTATTGTCTCTAAAATGTAAACTTCATTTTTTAACATTTGCTCAGTAATCTTTTGTAATTGTCTTTTATTATAACAGATATAGTTTATGTCCATTATAGAGCTTTTGGAAAATACAGCAAACCATACATTTATACACACGTGCAAACACACACACACATATACAGTGAGAATTACTTGTAATTCTATAGCCCAGAGGTAGCTACCGAATATTTTGGTATTTATTATTTATGTTTTACTTAAGCACACTCCAGCCCACATACTAATATTCATATATTTTTTAAAAAAAAAACAAAACAAACCCAGTCTTGTTTTGTAGGTGAAGCTGTGAGTGCTGGAGATGCCTTATGTGAAATAGAGACTGACAAAGCTGTGGTTACCTTAGATGCAAGTGATGATGGCATCTTGGCCAAAATAGTGGTAAGTTTATATTTTGATGTCTTCGACAGGATGAAGATCTCTTAAATGGGAAGTTCCTTGAATTAGAGTCACCCTTTATTTTTACCACTGTATTTACAGTGTTGTGTTATCTGTATGTACATAATACATTTTTAATTCAGATGTTTAAAATAGTTGAGTTTTAAGGTCTGATAATAGCCAGTGATGATCAGACAACATGGAAATATTTCAACCATGACAATGGTACTCAGTGTTTTGGGTTTCTTCATAGAGAATGAGAAGCATTCTGGCCTGAGAAGAGAGAAGGCTCTTTGAGGTGGAATTTGAAGACAAAGCAATAGGTTAAAACTCAGCACTCGCAGTTTCCTAGTTTGTAGTCAGTTAAACCAGAAAGAAGGAACGTGTTACTGTATCACACGAAATCAGGAAACCCTTTCTTCATCTGTCCCCAGGACTCCCAGGATTGGAAGTATGTAAAGTGACCATCTGTTCAGCTCCTGTTCTCCAGACAAGAATATCTTAAGTTGTCCAGTGCAGATTCTTGTCTATAGGTTTCATAGCCTCACTCAGTGGCCTGGTCCAACTCTGACTCATCCTTACAGTTGGGACATTTTTGCAATCATTTAAAAATATCTATATAAAAAGATACATATGTGGTATTTTCCACATACTTAAATATAGTTGAGTTGACAGTCTTGTCTATTGATAGTATATTTTCTGTTTCATGAGCTTTTTAATGATATATATATACTTGTGGGTTTAGCAAAACTGAAGTCATTTCCTTTGAGATCCCAATTTAAATAGATGCAGTAATTTTGAATATTCCTCTCTGGGCAATCTTTGCTTTATCGCTAATTTAAAGTATGGAGCTATGCCTTGAATACTGTAATGCTATTACTGGAAGTGGAAGCTATTAGTACAGACGTTCAATCAAAGTGTCTAGCAATAAAAGAAAGGTTAGTTAACAGAAGAAAACGTGGAATATCATGTAGCCATTAAAAATTGTTTCTAGAAAAAAATGTAATTTCTTTACATGTTATACATTAATAAAAATTTTTAAAATTTTTGAAAAAACACTTTTAAAATTGTATATGGGCAGGGGCGCCTGAGTGCCTCAGTTGGTTGAGCGTCTGACTTTGGCTCAGGTCATGATCTTGTGGTTCATGAGTTCGAGCCCAGCCGTCGGCCTTTCTGCTGTGAGCGCAGAGCCTGCTTCAGATCTTCTGTCTGCCTCTCTCTCTGCCCCTCCCCTGCTCCTGCTCTCTCTCTCAAAAATAAAACATTTTAAAAAATTTAAAAATTGTATATGGGCAGTGATTATAATCTTGTAGGACTTAAAAAAAATTTTTTTAAATGTTCATTTATTTTTGGGAGAGAGAAGGAGACAGGGATCCGAAATGGGCTGTGCACTGACAGTAGAGAGCCCAGTTGTGGAGCTCAAACCCACAAACCTTGAGATCGTGATCTGAGTTGAAGTCAGCCGCTTAACCGACTGAGCCACCCAGGTGCCCCAATCTTATAGGACTTTAAAGAAAAACATGTATAGAAAAGATTAAAGTGTTGTAAAAATGTCAGTTGTTTTTGGGGGATGGAACTAAGATCCTCCTACCCCATATTTTCTATTTTTCTTTATTGTCTAAATTTTCTATAATAGCTATATTGTTTTTATAATGAAATAGTAGCATTTCTGTGAAAATTAAAATAAAATGCTTAAAGCCTACTTAGGGTTACATGATATATTCACTGATGGAGCGTGTTTGTTTCTTCTAGAACATGTAATGATATGTTGTAACAGCTAAGAGTGTAGGCTCTGGAGTTAAACTGCTGCCTGATTCATATAGCTAATAAATTCTGCTAGTTATTAGTTATGTAATAGTTGGCAAATTCTTTAACCTCTCTGTGCCTTTTTCCTCGTAATGAGGATAATGACAATACTATCTACATTATGGATAGTAGTAGAGATTGAGATAATACATATATACTCATTACAAGACCTATTGCCCACCAAGTGTCAATATATATTGCTGTCTTCATCATTATTGCAATTACTCACCCAGCTCTTGGTGACCATTAGCTCACATGTCAGTCTGTTTTTTTACCTAATAATCTGTATTCGTTGTTCGCGACTGAATGGTTAGTATTCATTTGGGCCTCTGTAGTTTGGTACAGAGATGCCGCACATCTATTAGTAGTCCATTGTTGATGGGTTTTCAGTTCTGAGACACCAGCTCACCTCTGTTTTGGGCATGGATAGAACACCTTCCTTTGTACATTTTATCCAGAGGCTACACTTGGGAATGTTACAGTCTATTTAGATGTAGATCTATGTATAGTTTTCCATTCGTGTTTTCTACTAGAAACCTTTCCCCTTTTTTCTAGTCATTTATATGTTGCTTTTTACATTCTGATTATCAAACTTTCTTTACTTGTCATCTACAATATTAACAGCCACGTTAAAACACATTGTTGAAAATACTTCCTTGGAGGAAATATGAATGGAAAACTAAAATTTCTATACCTTCATAATAAGGAAAATATAAATATTCATACCAAAAGCATCCGACTTCGGCTCAGGTCATGATCTCATGGTCCGTGGGTTCGAGCTCCGTGTTGGGCTCTGTGCTGACAGCTCAGCGCCTGGAGCCCGCTTCAGATTCTGTCTCCCTCTCTCTGCCCCTCCCCCGTTCATGCTCGTGCTCTCTCTCTCTCTCTCTCTCTGTCTCTCTCAAAATAATAAATAAACATTAAAAAAATTTAAAAAATAGTTTCTAACTAATTTATGCAGAGTTTGAAAAAGGAAAAGATTGCTTGAATTACAATATGTAACAAACCCGGCTATGTTTTATTGTGTATGCTTTTGGCAAGCTGTGTTCTTAGTCCTAGCTCTGGGTCCTTTGACTATGAAAGTCTTTCAGAATTGATAGCTTTTCCCACTTAGCTGCTTTGTAATGCATTTCACATTGCTAACAGTGTTATAGGTCGGTAGTGCCTATTCATCTGGCCCCTAATGCTCCGAACAGGTAGGGGGCCTAGTGGGAGTATGTGATTGATAAGGGCTTTAGCAGCACAAGTGGCTACTTCCTTGCCAAAGAAAAGATTGTATGTATATTTTAGGGCCTTGTGGCTTTATTATTATTCCACATGCGTTTTGGGTAATAGGAATGGGAGTGTATTCATGTCCTAATGTTCACAGTTTTCTGGTGAAAAAAATCAAGGTGATGTTACTGGGGATTTTTAGTCTTTCACCCTACTCCACTCTCAGCCCTCCCACCCTCCTGCCACTTACACCTGTCTTTCACTGTGGAATAATTCTCATATGAGCAAGTAATAAAATGATTTTAATAAGAATACATGTAAGAGATCTTTACTTTCAGAGTCAAGGAGTTGGATGATTGATCTCATCAAAAGGCAAGTGATGACAAAAAGCTCTAGTTTTTAGTTTGCCCACGTTTTTGAAACAATTAGAAATTATTGTCTGTTTTGCTCTTCATGGAGGTTTGTTTGCATAGTCTTTGAGAGGTTTTTGTATTCTTCTCCTCCCCTGCCCAATTTCATTCTCTTCTCATTCGTAATTTTTGCATCTGATTTCCATTTTAGATATAAACTAATAATTATTACATTTTAATTAGAACCAGAAAAAAGCTTAGAAGCTCTTAATAATGTTAATAAAGAGCAATTGCTGTCAGTGTAGATAATTTTAGGATTCATTTCCAGTTTAGTTCAGTTAATGAGGGAGTTGTTAAAAAGTCTTATTTAATCACTGGTAAATTGCTGTGCGGAAAACCTTAAAATTTTTACACACATGCCAGTTCATAAGCTTAGTCTTAAATTTATCTGGCAAATTGGACAGGACGTGTTTTAAGTGATAAATTAATAAAATAGCATATTAGGATGACATATTTGGAGAATTTATTAAAGATGTCTGGTTTGGCTTCTTATATGATTTGTTACAAACCAGGATACTTTTGAGGGTGTAAAGGGTGGGGATGTGAAGATTATTTGAACTTCTATAATTTTTTGAAATTTTAATTTATTGACTAGCAAAACATTCACTGATAGATTTTATAATATTGGTAGACCATTACTATTCAAAACAATTTTCAAGAATAGATTTTTTTTCTGAAATCCATGGATTTTAAAGCAAAATTGTAAAACGTACTTGCTTTAGGGACACCTGGCTGGCTTAGTCGGTGGAGCAGGTGACTCTTGATCTCGGGGTCGTGAGTTGAAGCTCCACGTTGGACAGGGCTTACATGATCATCCGAAAATTAAAAAACAAAGATTCATTATTTTTGGTACTTATTTGTGTTCTCCAATCAATTTCTTAGCTGCATCTCACGCTAATACTGTGTCACTGGTGTTTTTTTAAAGACTGTAGTTTTTCAACATAATTTTTATTGTTAGGTCCCTTTCCTCCCTTATTGAGCAAGTTATTTAACCTTTCTGTGCTTCAGTTTCCTCATCTGTACATGAATAATAATAGCACTTACCTTGTAGTGTTGTTAGGAGAATTAAATGAGTTGACACAGTGCTAGAACAGTGCCTGGCAATTGAATGCCAAACTGTTACTCAAAGACTTAATGAGTGTTTTTTTTCTCCCCGCTGTGCATTTTTAGCTTGCCATTGATTTGTTGTCAGTGTCAGTATTTCTTATGTGTCTTCCTTTAAAAAAATTTTTTTTTAACATTTATGCATCTTTGAGACAGAGAAAGACAGAGCTGAGTGGGGGAGGAGCAGAGAGAGAGGGAGACACAGAATCCGAAGCAGGCTCCAGGCTCCGAGCTGTCGGCCCAGAGCCCGAAGCGGGGCTCAAACTCACTGACTGCGAGATCATGACCTGAGCCGAAGTCGGACGCGTAACCGACTGAACCACCCGGGCGCCTCTGTGTGCCTTCCTTTTAGACCAAAGTTCATTGTGCACATGAGTTAAAGTGTGTATATTAAAGAATACAGTTTAAAGCTGTATAATGGTTTGAACCATGATAGAAAATTGTTACTAAGTTTTCAAACCAAGTCAGCCATGCGACTCGGCTCAACGCCACTGACTGCAGTGCATGCTCCTTCTGTGCTCAGCAGCTCTCACACTGTCCTATTTTACAGAAGAAAATATTTAAATAATTGCTTAACTTATTATTTTTTAACATCACAATCAAAATACAGTTTTTCCCAGCACCTTGAGTGGAGTGAACCCCCTCAAATAATTTCTCTGTTGGGAAATTCTGCTGACTTCAGCATCTCCTATTAGCGGATACACTGAGGAAGCTCCGGTGGGCAGTATGGAGCACATTTGCCCGTGATTCATTTCAGCCTATGGGAATGTCTCTTGTAAAGAAAGAGGCCCCATCCCTGGGGTCTGTGTCTGGGGATGGAGTTCAGCAGCCTGTGTGTGGTCCTATGGAGAAATAGGTTTGCCCCAGGCCTTCCTGCCTATTTTTGCTTTCGTTGCTGTCCTGCCGTCCACTGTCCGCTCCCCAGTCCTGCCAGCCTCCTGCTGGCCCTTCAAGCGCAACTTTCCAACCCTTACCAATGGGGCACTCCTCTCCTGTCCACTCTTGATCCATGTTGAGTGTATTTTTTGTTTTAAAACAAAAATTTTATTTGAAATAATATTAATTTATCCTTTTGACATAATAGTAAAAAAAAAAAAAAATGAGTAGTCCACAGAACTAAAACTTCAGTATGTGACAGACAGCTAAACAAATTGTTCTTGGGTTGTTTTGTGTTTTTTTCACAGGTTGCACTTCATGAAATGTCCTTATCTTATGTACCTGTGTCTTATATATGTATTTAGCTTCATCCAAGTGTTATTTCTGTTCTTCTCCATCAGTAATTAGTAAACTTTGAAAGCTTCCTAACTTCCAGAACTTATGCCTTATTTATTTTTAGACTAGTGCATATACTGATAATCATCAAAATTAATGTTAGTCAGAAATGTCATATCCATTTTAGGAGTTAAGCTCTTATAATTACTCTATTAATGCACATCTTTCAGCCTCGCATTCTATTATTCACTACATTACATCGGTAATGAACTTTATTTAATGTAATTGAAAGAGAATAATACAAATTTTAAAGGAATGACATTTTCTTCCAGTACTGACTGAACTTAAAAACATTGTCATCTGAAGGTTCTCTAGGGACTTATCTTACTAACTAAATAAAAAGCAACTCTTCCTTTATAAATGAATGCTGCTGAAATGTTTAAAATACATTAAGTTTTTTTTTTAACTTCAATCTTATTTATTCTTTTAATTGACATTTTCTATGAAAAATTGTTTGATTAGCTGAGTCACCAGTGTGTTTCTGTTATACTTGTAAAAATTCATGGGGTTTTATTTTATTTCTCAGGTTTTGTAAATAGATACATAGGGAAAAAATTAAATATAGGGAAAGACAGAAACCAACATTAACCAGAGTAGTTAACCAATTCTGTTTATACGATGGGATATCCTTTTCTCCAGAGACTGTTCACTGAACATATTTTATGTTAACATTAGTCAGTAGGACTCACTTAGGAGAGTTAATTCCTTGTGAGCTCCTGGAATTCCTAAGCCATTGTGTAGAAACTGTCTGGGAAAGACAAGCAGTCGAAGGATGAAACCATAGTCTCCTGTTTGGATTTGTACGATTGACATCAAAAGGAAGATGGTATGATCACTCTTACATATTTGAAAGCTGTCAGAGACGAGATTCTGGATTTTTTTTCAGGCTGTCTCATGAATAACTGGGAGAGGGAGAATGGTGAAGGAAGGCATACATGGGGGAAGGCAGGAAAGGACGGTGGTGGGTGGAAGGAGGAGGCAGGCTGACTTGGGAGCAGATTTTAGCTCAAATTAAGATCTTTCTAATCAGTACAGAATTGTGTAAACTACTTGGTGAGGTCATGAGCCTTTCCATCTCTGCAGTTATTTTCTTTTTGAAATATAGGTTGAAGAAGGATCTAAAAATATACGGCTAGGTGCACTAATTGGTTTGCTAGTTGAAGAAGGAGAAGATTGGAAACATGTTGAAATCCCCAAAGATGTAGGTCCTCCATCACCAGCTTCAAAACCATCAGTGCCTTGCCCCTCGCCAGAACCACAGATTTCTACTGCTGTCGAAAAGGAACATATACCGGGAAAACTGCAGTGAGTATGTTTATTTGGATGCTGATGTAAAAAAACAAAACGAAACCAAAAGTGATGGCAACTCCTAGGGTATCTTAATCTTTATCAAACATCTTTGTACCTTATATATGAAGTGGCTGATCTTCCTTTTTTTCTCTTAGGTAACTGACGCCTAGGAATGATTATTTTATGTCATTGTTCATTCAACAAACAAATAGTTCTTGAATACCTGCCCTGTTCCAGGTAGTAGGAAAGCTCTGCTCACCTGGTGGAGAACAAAGCAGTCTGTGTTGTCCATGTTGAACTTGAATTAGGTTTTAGCCTTCTGGGATGGAATTTAATATACCAAATTTCAGATCGTGTTTTCATCCATGGAATTCTAGTTACCATAATGTGAATTCCAGTTTTAAATGTATAACTGATGTAAAATGGAATTAGCAGGAGTGCCTGGGTGGCTCAGTCAGTTAAGCCTCCGACTTCGGCTCAGGTCATGATCTCACAGTTCCTGAGTTCAAGCCCCGCGTCGAGGTCTGTGCTGACAGCTCAGGGCCTGGAGTCTGCTTCAGATTCTAAATCTCCCTCTCTATCTGCCCCTCCCCCACTCATTCATTTTCTCTCTCTCTCTCTCTCTCTCTCTGTCTCTCCCTCTCTCTCTGTGTCTCTCAAAAAATAAACATTAAAAAAAATTTTTTTTTAAGTAAAATGGAATTAGCATCTTAACATGCATTTCTTTGCAACTATTCTGCATGTGAGTGTCTGACACAGATTAGAGCTCAATTTTATCCCTGTATAACACACTTAGTAAACACCATTTCATTTCAGCTTTGCATAGCTTAAATGGATGGACTCAGAAAATTCTAACAAGTTCATTTATTTATTTTAACATTCTCTATAATTATACAAAATTACTTTATAAGAAAAAGCTCTTCATCGAGAAGGGTCCTCTTATGAACCACTTTCAAACTTAAATAAAAGTGCAGAATTTTTCCTTTTTAAAAATTTTTTCCTTCAGCTTACCAATGTCAGCTTTTGTCAGAAAAAAATCCACAGTGATTTTGAAGTGCTGAGTTGTAAATTCCCGTCACTGTTTACACAGCACTTCTGACTGCATTGCTTTAACTTCCCTTCATTTACCATGAAAATCAGAGGCAGGCTCCTGGCTGTGTTCACTGCTCTTCTCCTGTTGCAGAGACCACAGTGTGTACCCCGTCATTCTGTGACGATCCATCACTCAGACTTAATGAGTCTGAGACCCGGGGGTGTAGGTTATAAAGCAGCAGACCTGTGAACCGCACAGTGTTGGCCCACACGGTGATTTTCTTAAATAAAAGTTTTGAATTGGTTATAGTTAATCTTACCAAAAATCTAAAATTTCAGTTTCTTCTGAAAAATCTAAAGATTTGATAGCACTGAGTCCATAGCGCCTAGAGCTGTTTCCCTAAAATGGAGCAAGTACCACGTTCCTTCCTACTCCATTTTTTAGTTACACACTTCTGGACCCAGCCCCTTTTATTCAGTTTTCAATTTTCACATCTTTATCAAACTGTATAGTTATTTGTATCTGCTGCTTTGCCTAAAGGTCATAATCGAAGAGTGGACACTCAGTAGTTGTGTGGCCTTTTGGTATGTCTCAGTTTCCATGTCTAATAATCAACGTAAGTGTTTTGCCTCTTAACTCTTTGGAGTAAATCTAAAATACTGCTTTCATGTAAATACTAATGTCTTTTAAAAATATATAAAGGATACAATTCAACAACAACAAAACAAACAATTCAATTAAAATAGGCAAAGTAGGGGTGCCTGGGTGGCTCAGTTGGTTAAGCGTCCGACTTCGGCTCAGGTCATGATCTCCCTGTTTGCAGGTTCGGGCCCTGCGTCGGGCTCTGTGCTGACAGCTCAGAGCCTGGAGCCTGCTTCGGATTCTGGGTCTCCCTCTCTCTGCCCCTCCCCGACCGGTGCTCTGTGTCTCTGTCTCTCAAAAATAAATAAACATTAGAAAATTTTTTTAAAAAATAGGCCAAGTACTCAAATATATATTTTGTCCAAAGAAGATGTATGAATGGCCAATAAACATGTGAAAAGATGCTCAGTGTCCCTAATCATTAGGGAATTGCCAGTCAGTGCCACAGCGAGCTACCCTTTCACATTCATTGGATTGGCTATTGTTAAAAAAAAATAATGATAATAATGTGTTGACAGAGAAATTACGACAGTTGTGCGCTGTTGGTAGGAATGTAAAATGGTGCAATCACTGGAAAACAGCATGGCAGTTCCTAAAAAATTAAAAATAGAATTACCATATGATCCTTTTCTCGGTATATACTCAAGCAATTCCTTTTCTCGGTATATACTCAAGCAATTCCTTTTCTCGGTGTATACTCAAAAAAGTTGAAAGCAGGAACTCAGAGATATTTGTATAACCATGTATAGCAGTGTTACTCACAGTAGCCAAAAGATGGGAACAACTCATGTGTCCAAAATGTGCCATATACATACAATGAAATGTTATTCAGCTTTGGAAAGGATGGAAACACTGACACATATACCATGACATGGATGAACCTTGAAGACATTACGCTAAGTAAAATAAGCCAACCGCAAAAAGACAGATGTAATATGATTCCACTTACGTGAATTACCCAGAGTAGTCAAATTGGTAAAGAGAGTAGAAGGCTGTCTGCTGGGAGCTAGGGGAGTGGGGAGTTAGTGTTTAATGGGGACAGGGTTTCAGTTTGGGAGAATGAAAGTTCTGGAGATGGCTGGTGTAATTGTACTTTATGCCACTCAATTGTACACCTAAAAATGTTTTAAATTGTAAATTTTGTGTATTTTTACCACACACAGAAAAAATGAAGGAATGATTTATCTAGTTCCGTATTGATGTGTTTGATTAGGAACCATTTGAAAAATTATTACTTGAAATAGGAGCTCTCCTCTTTTGAATATTTACTTTTTTTTTTTTTTTTTGAAAGAGAGAGTGAGAGCAGGGGAGGTGGGCAGAGGGGGAGAGACAGACAGACAGAGAGACAGAGAGAGAGAGAGAGAGAGAGAATGAGAATCTTAAGCAGGCTCAGCGCGGAGCCCAACACAGGGCTCAATCCTTGACAATCCTCATGACAGAGGGTCATGACCCTGGAATCATGACCTGAGCTGAAATTAAGAGTTGGACACTCAACCGATTGAGCCACCCAGGCACTCTGAATATTTACTCTTATTGAAAGAGTATTTTGAAATAGTAACTAAGTAACTTTGTATGAAATGTTTTGGTAGTAAAGTAAACCAGATTGGTACAGATTAATTTATTTTACCGTGACTATCTCTGGGAATCATTTTAATTTCATTGTAAGTTTTTATTTTTCTAAGTTTCAGCAAAATTGTTGACGTTTATGTACATTTGATTCAAATTTAAGTGTTTATTGGTTTCCTTAATCTCTTTGTGTTTTCTTCTTAGGTTCCGTTTAAGTCCAGCTGCCCGTAATATTCTGGAAAAACACTCCCTGGATGCTAGCCAGGGCACAGCCACTGGCCCTCGGGGGATATTCACTAAAGAGTATGTTTGTGCTTTTTTTGTTTTAATTAAAAAAAATTTTTTTAAGTTTATTTATTTATTTAGAGAGAGACAGAGAGGGCGGGCAAGCAGGGGGGGGGACAGAAAGAGAGTCCCAAGCAGGCTCTGCACTGTCAACGCAAAGCCCGACACGGGGCTCAAACTCCCAAAACTGTGAGATCATGACCTGAGCTGAAATCAAGATCAGACGTTTAACCAACCAAGCCACCCAGGTGCCCCTGTTTGTGCTTTTTGTAACAACCAATTCCATTATTTATCATGATCATCCTTTTCTGAAAGTATTTTAAGAAGAGCTTATTCAGTGTTAAGATTTAAAAGGATGTATACTGTTCTTTTGTATTTTTAATTGCTTTGGCAGTGTAAAATTATATTCTGTGCAAGGGTTGTTTCTGAATAATTACAGCATTAGTGAAGAACAGTTCTAATTTGGTAACAAAGCCAGATCCTTAGAAATGGTGATAAATGCAGAAAGTTAGAGTGCAGAGTGGTGAACCTTTGTATTGTTTTACGTTTACTTGAAATAAGTTAGCGATCACATTTAAATTTTTAAAACCTAGATATATACTTTTAAAAATACTTTCATTCTTATCTGTTTGGAATTTAGTCAATGATATGACCAAAGAGATTTCCATATGCAGTTGGCCCTCTTAGGTCTTCTGTTGCACTGATCTCACTGTCCATGAGTTAGTACCTCACTTGCTTAGTACCACACTCTTAATTATAAATATTCTCAAGTAAGATTTAAAATTTGATAGAGTTATCCTTGCTCTTCTTTTTCAATAGACCGGTTTTCTTGGTTTATTCTTATTTTATTATTCTTCCAAATGAATTTTAAACCATTCATTTGCCCTGCTGACGGGACTCCGCAGGGGGATGATGGTGTTTTTATTGGGATTGTATCGCATTGTAAGTTACGTTGGGGAAGAAGTGATATCTTGATGATCCTGAGTCTTCCTGTTCAAGAACACTGATATGTTTTACCAATTTGTTTAAATTTTGTTTCTTTCAGGAGTGTATGAGAACAGATAGCGCCTGCTCTATTCAAACTTGGTCTATTGGGAAGACAAAGGTTAATCCTTTAGGCATATGAACTAATGTAAAATTGCAGTAGTGTTATATGTTATATTTCTATGGCAGTAATATTAAATTCTTCAAATTGAGTTAATGTCTTAAAACAATATGCTTATTCCCTGTTCATATAATATTGATAAAAAGTGATCGCTGATACTGGCTTAAAAGTTTTTAAGTTGCGATGGGGCAAGGGTTATGAAACTATTAAGTGGCAGTGCTGGACCAAGGGACCTTTTTTTTTTTTTTTTTTTTTTTTTTTTTTTTTTTTTTTTTTTTTTTTTTCCATTCGTTATTTTAGTCTTCATTAAAGCATTAGTTTATGTTTGTGTATTATTTTTATGGGGAGCGGTACCTCCTTAATTCTTAGATAGTCTCATTTATCTGTATTATAGCCTTATTGATTTGCTCATCAAACATGTCTGTGGTTCTCTTAAACACATCCTGTGAAGTTCTGCCATACTACATGAGCAGGAAATCAGCTGTCCTGACTCCTGACTGAAAAAGAGCATCCTAGGCTGTGAATTTTTAGTTACAGGACCTAAAAACGTAGCCATAAAAAATTAAAATTAAGTATCTCGATAGCCAGTTAAGCCTAGTTTTTCTCCCACGTTAATCCCTATTTCGTATCTACTATTCATACCTTAATTTTATTAATCTACCAGTCTATGCTTCAGTAAACTCCCTGTAAAAATGGGATAAAGCATCTTTCTTCATAACCAGGGATACTCACCTATATTTCTGAGGGATGGGACAAAGAGTCTATATTTAATTCATTAATCATCGAGTAAGATTTGGTGAAATGTAAAATAATCATAGCTGTACCTTAGAAGGATTAATTTTGCAAATTTGCATAAGATAAATTGGAGTAGGAAAATACTTGAGGTAAGGAGATAAATTAATAGGCTTATAAAGTAATTCAGGTAAAAGATAAAAAATGCTTGAATGTGTGTGGAAGAAGTAAAAGAGAGATTTCTGACGCAGACAGTGTTCTACGGACAGAATCCAGAAGCCTTTGTAAAGGACTGAATGTGGAACAATAGACCAGGATAGCAACCAGTCAAGGACTGAAGTTGGAATTCTGATCCGGGTCATGAAATTTTGGCTCCATAAATACAATAAGGGCTTTGAGAAAGTATTTGTCTCAGTGGCGTGAGTGATGGGGTAGCTCTGAAGCTTATTATCAGTGCTGACGAGCCGCGCAGGCATCAGGGTCCGCGAGGTGAATGTTATTTGCAGGAAACACTTTGGAACTAGAGAGGGAGGTTTGGTAGGTAGTAGAGCAGTAGTTATAATTGAGATAATCAGGAGGTAAACTTTTAGAAGGCTGAAATTCCTGTTTTGGAGGATATCTAGGAACTGGATAAAAAGTTAAGAATGTGTGATCTGAGAAAAGTCTTTGAAGTTGGTGATCAGGTGACATTTTAGAAGGCAGTTCATTGGTGTGACAGCAGAGGAATGAAATAGTGCTTTCTTCATTTCTCCCTTCTCTTTCCATGTGTGCTTAATACATAATTGATGAACAAATACCTTTTTTTAATTTTTATTTAAAAAAAAAATTTTTTTTAACGTTTATTTATTTTTGAGACAGAGAGAGACAGAGCATGAACGGGGAAGGGTCAGAGAGAGGGAGACACAGAATCTGAAACAGACTCCAGGCTCTGAGCTGTCAGCACAGAGCCCGACATGGGGCTCGAACTCACGGACCGCGAGATCATGACCTGAGCTGAAGTCGTTCGCTCAACCGACTGAGCCACCCAGGCGTCCCCAAATACCTTTTTTTTTAAACCTCAGTTGAAGTTCTAACAGTAATGTAACATTTATTAAAGAGAACAAAATGGTATTGTCTTGCTGTATACCCAAAGGCAGCACTGTTAAAATAGAGTTACATGTTTAATGTTTTTGCTATCTTCCTCCTCCTCATATCCAGTTCTCTTTCCTGTCCTTATTCTTTAACTCTGCATCATAAGGGAGTCAACCTTTGGTCTTCAAACTTTGACACATTACAAAAGATTTCGTGGGAAGATCCTTGAAAGCATGCATTATTCAGGATTTTTGCTTTGTATGCTACTAAAGATGCCTGTGTTTTAAGTTTAACGTTAAGGTGGACTTTGGGAAAAACTTTGACTTGCTGTCATCTACAAAAATGGCATATTCTGATAAGATTGAAAAACTGCAGGCTTTGACATAAGCTTCCCCCCAAATCCCTTAGCACACATTCTTGGAATTTGGAGGGACATCCTTCCTTTTTCCACTGTTAACTAAAAATGCAAGTAGAATAGAAAAATCAGTTCCAACTGCTGAAGAAGTGCCTCTGATGCATTGTATTTATGAAGTAGATCCTAAGTGTTAGGGTTGCTATTTTAATGTTGCTCAAACATATCACTCAGAATATATGTTGCGCAAAAGCATATGGACTTTGTTTTGCCTGTGTATGTAGTATTTTAGGAAAACGAGCGCTGGGGCCACCTTTAGAGAGAATATATTTAAGTTCTTTGCCTGTAACGTAACATCTTTGGTATATCTGTGTCTTAAGTCATAGTTGTAGTTAATGTTTGTATTCATATCACAGCATCAAAAATCTGACCAGTGTGACAGGCAAGTGTCTGGCATTCTTGTCATAGTATTTCTTTTGAAAACTAAGTCATTGCCCACCCAAATGAATTACTCTCTAAGGGATCCTGGTAGAGAAGATTCTACCCTGAGTGAACCACCAAGGTGCCTTCTGCCGTTCTGCAGAAGTGTGTGGTGTATTTGTTTTTCTCCTAATTTTTAGAGCTTTTAATGCCTACTTAATTCTTCAGTCTAGTCTGATTAATTATTTCATGGACAGAATCATTAAAGTCATTCTCTGCATTATAGAAACTAAATTGTTGGCTGTTATTAAACAATAGTTAACATTTATACTTTACGAGGTATGTAAGTGTGAAATTAGCAATAAAAGCTGACTGTGAAGCAGTGGCCAGAATTGATTTTCTGTTTTCTTGTTTATGATTAATGACTTCTTGCTTTTATTCTTTACTAAGAGCTGTTCTACCCAAGAATCTTAATTACTACAAGAATGAAACTAAACTATTTTTTTTCTTGATAAAATAGTAATACCTATGCTGATAGTGTCAGTTTAGGGGCATCTGGTGGCTCAGTCGGTTGAGCGCCCGACTGCGGCTCAGGTCATGATCTCACGGCTCATGGGTTTGAGCCCCACCTCCGGCTCTGTGCTGACAGTTCAACCTGGAGCCTGCTTTGGATTCCGTGTCTCCCTCTCTCTCTGCCCCTCCCCCGCTCGCTCTTGCACGCGCTCTCTCTCAAAAATAAATAAACATTAAAAACAAATTAAAAAATAAAGATGTGTCAGTTTAGTGTGACCAGTCTTTTTTTTTTTTTTTTTTTTTTTTTTTTTTTTTTTTTTTTTCAACGTTTATTTTTGGGACAGAGAGAGACAGAGCACGAACGGGGGAGGGGCAGAGAGAGAGGGAGACACAGAATCGGAAACAGGCTCCAGGCTCTGAGCCATCAGCCCAGAGCCCGACGCGGGGCTCGAACTCACGGACCGCGAGATCGTGACCTGGCTGAAGTCGGACGCTTAACCGACTGCGCCACCCAGGCGCCCCTAGTGTGACCACTCTTAAATCAGTGTATTCAGGCATTTTAGATTCTTTAGTCTCTTTACCTGTTATTTTTATCTGCTTATTTTTAACTGATAACTGAGAGTAAACTAGTGATCCCCATATAAAGAAAATAAAATGTATTTTAGATATGCCACTCTGATACTAAACTGTAATTTGATTTAAAACCCAGATTAGTAATAGGTTTTGTGAGAGAGATGTATTTTATATAATGGGAAGAGACTAGTAACGTTCAGCTGTGATTTGTAAGAGCCTTTAAAAGCTAAGTATCTTCTATTGAAGGCATTTTTCTGAATCAACAGAGAGGCCTTATATATCCATGCTCATATTTTTATTTATCTGGCTAGGGTTTTGGCTCATGGCATAAATCCCCAGAAATGATGCTGCCAGTCATTTACTTCATATGTAAATGTTATCATAATTAACTGGAAACTGGTGCTTTTGGTTCTAAATCTAAATTAAAAATTAATTTCCAAACAGAAGTAAGCTTGTTCTTCAAGGCCTTAACGGTACACAAGGTCATTCCCTAGGCCGCATATCTCCTCCTCTTCCCGGTCCTTTCTGTTCCCGTCAACCGTGTTGTTGCCCATGCCCTGAAAACCAGCACTGCCTACGTTTAGCTTTGGATTACATAGATTGCATTTTTTCATTCAGTCCCAGACTTGCTGTTAATCCTAGATGTGCTGAATTCTATTCTGATGTGTTCATGTGAGAAAAAATTATTCTCACTCTGCTGTGGTTTATATTTGCATACTATGTGCATAGAGGTGTTAGAAAAGTGGTAGAACGCGCACAGGCTTTGAAGTTGGCCATACCTGGGTTTGATGCCAGCCCTGGCGGCTGCTTGCTGCCCACCTCTCCAGCTTCATCTTTTAACCCCCTCCCCTTGTTCACTGCTCTCTTCGTGCCGACCTGCCTTCTGTCCTTAAGAGAGGCCTTTTCCCTGGCTGCTCTCCCTGCCTGGAAACATGCTTCTCCGGGCTCTTCTCGAGGCTTGCTCCTTCATCTTTCCACGTGAATACCACCTCCTCAGGCATTCCCTGACCATCTGCCCTATTTTATTTATTTTTTTTAAGTTTATGTATTTTGAGAGAGAGAGAGAGAGAGAGAGAGCGCAAGCAGTGGTGGGGAGGGTGCAGAGAGAGATGGAGAGAGAGAATCCACGCTGACAGCATGGAGCCCGATGCAGGGCTCGGTCTCACGAACTGTGAGATCCTGACCTGAGCCGAAATCAAGAGTCAGACACTTACCCTACTGAGCCACCCAGGCGCCCCCCCCATCCTCACCCATCACTCATCCTGTTATTCTGCTTTATTTTTTTCATAGTACATCACTATCTGTCATTTGTTTGCCTGATTAACATAACAGAGAATAAAGCTGTTTGATGGGAAGTGTCTTGTTTAACACTGTATCCTTGACACGTGGAACAGAGTAGGTGATTGAGAAATACTGACTTAGACTTGGAATTTAACCTCCCTGAGCCTACTTACTCATCTTTGAATTGGGAATGATAATACCTCCCTCACAGGCCTGGTATGAAATTATGTAATTAGCATAAACACAATACATACATAAGAGGCTAATTTTTCCACTTTTACTCCCACTTAAAAAAATTTTTTTTTAATGTTTATTTTTGAGAGAGAGAGAGAGAGAGAGAGAGAGAGAGAGAGAGAGAGAGCACAAGCAGGGGAGGGGCAGAGAGAGAGGAAGACACAGAATCCTAAGCAGCCTCCGGCCTCCGAGCTGTCAGCACAGAGCCCGACGTGGGGCTTGAACCCACGACTGCGAGATCATGACCTGAGCTGAGGTTGGATGCTTAACGGCCTGAGCCACCTAGGTGCCCCTTTTACTCCCACTTTGAATGCTTAGTTAGGGATCCAAGATGATAAAACATTTAAGGTTTCTTCGTCAGCCGACCTCTCATATTAAATGTCAGCTCTTTAACTTTGAAGTAAGTAAGTTATATTTGGTGTTAACTCCATGCACCCCTTTCTGGACCTGGTATAAAGCACGGACCCTCCTTCCTAAAAATGCTATTAGGACCCATTGAGGGATTCCTCTAATAATGTGCCCCAGGTTGGAGCATTCCTGCCTGGGTCAGTTTTCTGTTGCTGCATAACATTACAACAAGCTTAGTAACTTAAAACGTTTATTTATCATCTAACAATTCTGTAGGTCAGAAGCCAGGGCCCAGCATGGCTGGGTTCTCAGCTTATAGTCACAAGGTTGAAATCAAGGTGTTGGCCCAGGGCTTGGGCTTCATCTGAAGGTTGGAGTCCTCTTCCAGGCTCACATGGTTGTTGGCTGAATTCAGTTCCTTGGGGCTGTTGGACTCTAGCCCCTCACTGGGTCTTAGCCAAGGACTGACTGGTCTTAGCTCCTCGAGACCTCCTTCAGGTCCTTGCCACATGGTCATCTCCCCAGGCTGTTCACAAGTGCCTGTTTGCTTCTCCGGTGCCCGCAGGAGAGTCTCTCTCCATTCAAATCTCTTCTTGAAAGACTTTCTGGTTCCTTTTAAAGGGCTTATCTGATGTGTCTGATCCTGCCAGGGTAATTTTCCTTTTGCTTTTTGATTAACTTCATGTCAGCTGATTTGGGACCTGAATTGTGTGTACAAAATCCGTCACGTTTGTCACATAATGTAACCTAATCAGGGGAGCGGCATCCATCATACTCACAGGCCTACACAAGGGATTATGCAGGGTGTGTAACCAGGTAATAATTCTGTGTATACAAGAATGTTGGGGTCATCCGTCTCAGAATTCTGCCTACCATGTTGCCATATTAAGTAAAAAGGTTTTGTTCGGGGAAGGATAATTTCAGACATGCCCGGCAGATGCTAGGTTTTTCCCCTCAGCAATTCTTTCAGTAAACAATAACGAATAATTAACCGTGTTTGAGAAATTTAAAGGATGTAAATTGCCTTTAAATTAGTGTCACCCTGAAGTTGTTTTTAGATTACATAAAACCTTTTTGAAAAAGTTTTTAGCTTAAAACATTTTTTTTACTATAAAATTCTGTTTTTGAAGAGAGTTCTTTTAAATTGTCAGGTATTATAATTTTCGAGAAGGCATTTTGTTTAAGAAAATGTACTATTTCATACCCACTATAACTTAGCATAAATTGAAAGCTTGGTGTATTTAGTCATCCACTTACATCCTTTTAAAAAACAAAGATACCTTTAATGCAGGGTAAGTCTGTTACTAGTTTAGTTATCTTTCATTCTGAATGATGCTGTGGGGTAGGTTTATTTCATGAGATGATGCTGTTAACATTTTGAGCAATATTTAAAATGGTATGAGTTTCTGACCATAACAAGGTTATTTACACTAGAAAATCCAGTAATTTAGTAAATATACTAATAAAAGTCATCAGAAACTTGACATTTTCTGAATGCCATGTGAAAATTATTTGACAAGTATAAAGAATGAGAGTATGGTTTAAGAATTGTTCGTCTACCAAATGACACCCCCCCCCCGAGAAAAGGACTAATTTCCTTTTTAAAGATATCTACGCCCAAAACTTTGATATAATTCAAATTGTTTGGTTTTTGAAAATGTCCAAATATTGTAGCCATTGGGTGAATAATATGAATCAGCAGACCAGATAAGATTTGCTTGTGTACCTCAAGTAATTCATTTTGCATCACAGCCTTGACATCTCTCTATTTCAGTACCTTCCCTCCGTATCTCCATTTTCTAAATGTTCTCTTCTATTCCTTGTTGCTAATCGTGGTTATCTCTCTCTTCAGGGATGCTCTCAAACTGGTCCAGTTGAAAGAAACGGGCAAGATTACTGAATCCAGACCCACCCCAGCCCCTCTAGCTACTCCCGCAGTGCCTCTGCCCCCACAGGCCATGGCCACGCCACCATACACACGGCCGATGATCCCACCGGTCTCAACTCCTGGACAACCGAATGTAGTGGTAATGTCATTTGAATAGATTTGTATGTTTTCGGACTTAAGTGAGAACTAGGAACCCAATAAGAACCATTACTGTCTGTTTTTTGGTTTTTTTTTTAATTAGTTTATTTATTTTGAGAGAGAGAGAGAGAGAGAGACATCATGAGTGGGGGAGGGGCAGAGAGAGAGAGAGAGAGAGAGAAGCCCAAGCAGGCTCTGCACCGTCAGCCCAGAGCCCAACTTGGGGCTCATACTCAGGAAACTGCGAGATCATGACTTGAGCCAAAATTAAGAGTCAGACACTTAACTCACTGAACCACCCAGGCGCCCCAGCTGTCTGTTTTACGTGTAATTCTACCAATCCATTTTAGTAGTAGCTAACAGTGATAAAGAAAAAATTCTCCAGATACTTCATGTCGTGCAGACTCCTAGCACAAACCCAGTTTGTGTGGTGCTAACTTTCAAGGCCAGTGCCATATAAGTAGGCTCTTTAATCATGCTGCTTTTCACGTAGCTTTTCTCTGGTGTGGTACTAATGGTTGGTAGCCACCACTAGCCCTCATCTGTGGCTGTTTTATTTTAATGTTTATTTTTATTTTTGAGAGAGAAAGAGCATGAGCGGGAGATTGGCAGAGAGATGGGGGGACAGAGGATCCAAAGCAGGCTTTACAGTGTCAGCTGGAGCCTGATGTGGGGCCTGAACTCACGGACCATTAGATGGTGACCTGACCCGAAGTCGGACGCTCAACAGGCTGAGCCACCCAGGCGCCCCTTGACTGAGGGAATTGATACTCTGACTGTGAAGAACTATAGAGACTGTATAGCTAGTCATTCTTTCTCAGATGGAGGCAGTAACAGCCCTTTTTTGTTGTCAGAATATTCCATTTTGCCTCTTTTTACCTCCCTTTCTTAGTATCTTTCATGTCATTTGTTTCCCATCAGAAGAAATGCAGGATAATCAGGTTCATGTAAAACTGAAAGGGAAAAAAAAAAAAAAAAAACTGGGCACTTAAAAAATAAACAAACCTATCTTGCTCTTTCTGATGGAGAAATATATTCCAGTATAGTATTTTAAAGAATTTGCAAACAGTACAAATTTCATGGGAAACAATTTTTAATGTAAATTCATGATTCGTGACTTCATATACAAAAAATTTATGTGTAATCAAATCATATGTTTTTAAGAAGTAGGTTATTCAAATTAGGAAGGTAAACCTTACTTTCAAATTTTTATGGTATACAGAGAGCATTCATTCTATCTGAACAAATACTTTACTAACAAAGTGTTTAGTTTCCTAAGGACTCAGGTATATTTTTAGCTGCTTGATTAGAAGTGACTGTGATCTAGTCCCAGAGTGGAGTGAAGGACAAGGAAGGAATCACAGGTAGTTTTATGTCCATCCTGCTTTTTGTTAGAGTTTCAAAGAACAGAGTGGAAAAGCTATAGTAAGTTATAGGAAGATTTTATTATCTCACTTAGACTTTTTATTATGAATTTTTAGGAAATATGATACTCATGTGATTTCTTTTTAAATTACAAACCAAAATAGAAATAGTTTGGCAGATTATCCGTACATTATCTTTTTCTACTGCACACCATTTTTATAAGTAGGAATTGTCTGTTGTTGGTTTGTTGATGTGTTGGATGCTTTGAGTTTTATTAAGTGATATTTGTAACAAGCTGCTTACAGTGGTATGTGTGTGTCTGTCTGTCTCTGTCCCATACACGCACCCATGGGAGAATTATTCATGACCTGGTAGATTTCTTTTTGATCATCTTATACAAAGTAACATAAGATTCTCATTTATAACTAAGACATGGATTTTACCAATTTTTTCTACAGTTGTATACTATAAAATTAAAGCTCTCTGGATTTCTTATATTCCTCCTTATACTAAGAATTTTTAATAGTATTTTTCCTCTGTTAATCTTTAATTACCAAGAGTTAAGTTACTGAGACTAGATTATAGTATTAGAATTTGCTTTTTCCACTTCCATTTATGGTTTAATGGACAGATTGCAATTTCTTTGCAGGGCACATTCACTGAAATCCCTGCTAGCAATATTCGAAGAGTTATTGCCAAGAGGTTAACTGAATCTAAAAGTACTGTACCACATGCATATGCTACTACTGACTGTGACCTTGGAGCTGTTTTAAAAGCTAGACAAAGTCTGGTCAGAGGTTAGTAAAGTTAAATTTACTTAATACAGTACATGTGCTAACTATTGTGAAATCCTTTACTTACAAAGGCACATTGTGCAGCTTTTTATTTTGGTTTCATCATCTGGGTGTATTTTAGTACTAAAGAAAAGAATTGGTTCACTTTTCTTATAAGAAACAAACCGATTCCATTGTATTGAGTAAATCATGTTTTTGGTATGATATCTGAACAAAGCAATCCTTAACATTTTAGAAAGTAAAAAATCCAAAACGATTGAAAAATGTTTTAGATTTTACATATATCTTAGATATCACTCTTCTTTATACAAGTTTTAATTTTTTATATCTTTTTCAAAATGAACTTTCAGGTTATGAAATTTGTAATGTACCTCCCAGCAAATTAGTTAAAACTAAGGTTGCTGGGAGACTTCGGAATTTTTAGCATGAACTGATCTTTCCTTTCCTTTCCTTTCCTTTCCTTTCCTTTCCTTTCCTTTTCTTTCCTTTCCTTTCCTTTCCTTTCCTTTCCTTTCCTTTCCTTTTCTTTTCTTTTCTTTTCTTTTCTTTTCTTTTCTTTTCTTTTCTTTTCTTTCTTTCTTTCTTTCTTTCTTTCTTTCTTTCTTTCTTTCTTTCTTTCTTTCTGTATGGCTTTGATTTCATTTTCTTGCTTTTTTGAATTGGCTAAGACCTCTGTCTTAACCTGCAATGATGAGTATAAATGGCAAAAGCAGACATTTTTGCCTCGTTCTTGGTCTTAGGAGAAAACATTCAGTCTTTAATGTTAGTTGTAGGTTTTTTGTAGATTCCTTAAGTTGAGGAAATTCATATTCCTAATTTGCTGAGAGTTTTAGGCATAAACGGATGTTGAATTTTGTCAAATGCTTTTGTGTGTCTTTTGAGATAATCTTTCCTTTTTCATTGTTATTTTGATGAATTATTTTGGTTGATTTCCAGATGTTGAATAAACTTGTATTCCTTGTATAAAACTCATCAATCATTAATTTTCTTAGATATTTCTTGATCCCATTTTCTAAAATTTTGCTAAGAATTGTTATACCTGTGCACATGAATAATAACTACCCTGTGGTTTTCTTAAAGATGTTTGTTTGTTTTTTTCTTGGGTTTGTTACCAGATTTCACAGAATAAATTAGGAAATGTTTCCTTCTCCTTTATTTTCTGAAAGGTTTGGGTAGAATTGATTTTATTTCCTTTTTAATTATTTGGTAGAATTCACCAATGAGACTGTCTATCTAGGCCTTTGATTTTCTTTGTGGGAAGACTTTTAACTACAAATTCAGTTTTTAAAAATAGATGTATCGGTTTCTTCTGGAATGAGCTTGAGTAGTTTGTGTCTTTCAAGGAATTTGTTCATGTCATCTAAGTGATAAAATTTTCAGTAGTCCCCCCTCATCCACAGGGAATACATTCCGGGACCCCCAGTGGATGCCTGCAACCATTGATGGTACCAAACCCTGTATATACTGTGTTTTCTCCTGTGCATACATACCTATGATAAAGCTTAACTTAAAAATTAGACATAGAGATTAACAACAATCATAATAAAATAGAACACTGTAATAGAATACTGTAATAAAAGTTAAGTGAATGTGGTCTCTCTGTCTCTTAAGTATCTTACTGTGCTGTACTCGCCCCTCGTTATGATGTGAGGTGATAACATGCCAACGTGGTGAGATGACGCACGGTGAATGATGTAGGCATTGGGACATAGTGTTAGGGTATTGATGACCCTCTGACAGTATGTCAGAAGGAGGATCATTCTGCCTCTGGGCTGCTGTTGGCTGTGGGTAACTGAAACTGTGAAAAGCAGAACTATGGATAAAGGGGTCGTTGGCATAAAGTTGTTTATAATATTACCTTACTATATAGTACTTCTAACATTATATAATCTGAAGTGATGTCTCCATTTTCAGTATTAGTAATTTGTGTCTTTTGACTTTCTTGATCAATCCGGCTGGGGATTTATAAATTTTATTGATCTCTTCAAACAGTCACCTAATTTCATATAATTTCTTCATTGTTTTTCTAATTTTCTTTTCATTGGTTTCTGCTGCCTTTATTCCTTTTTTTTTCTGTTTGCTTTGGGTTTAATTTGCTCCTTAGTTTCCTAGTTTCCTAAGGTGAAAGCTGAGATCAATATCATATAATAAACTTTGATGCTAACATAAGCATATAATGCTTTTAAGGTGCCTTTCAGCAGTGCTTTAGATGAATTCCACAGAATTTGATGTGTTTTATTTTTCTTTCTATTCAAGATGTTTTCTAATTTTCCTTGTGATGTGTCTTTTGATCCATGAATCATTTGCAAGTGTAAATATAATTTCCAAATATTTAGGGCTTTTCAGCCTTTCTTTTATGATTTCTTGCTTAACTCCATTGTGCTTAGAGAACATGCTTTGTATGATGTAAATCTTAACTTCTGTTGAGATTTTAGAGTCGTAACATGGTCTATCTTGATGAATGTTTCATGTGTATTTGAAAAGAATGTGTGTTCTACCTCTGAGGAGTGTTCTGTAAATGTCAGGTGAAGTTGGCTGGGAGTAGTGTTCATGTCTTCATATCCTTTCTGATTTCCTGCGTGTTCTGTCCATTCTTGAAAGAAGAGTGTTGAGATCCCTGGTTACGATTAGGATTTGTCTGTTTTCCCTTTGAGTACTGTTGGCATTATATCATCTTGAAGATGTGTTATTAGGCACAGAACACATTTAGGATTTTATGTGTTCCTGATGAATCGATGCGTCATGAAATGTCTCTGTTCATTCCTGGCGTAATATTTCTTACTCTGAAGCCTTCCTTATCTGATATTGATACGGTCAGTCCAAATTTCTTTGATTGATGTTTGTATATCTTTTTACTTCTAATATATCTGTCTTTATATTTTTTAATTTTTAAAAAAATTTGTTATTTTTTTTTTTTTTTGAGGGGGAGAGAGAGAGAGAGACAGAGCAATAGAGGGGGAGGGGCAGAGAGAGGGAGACACAGAATCCGAAGCAGGCTCCAGGCTCTGAGCTGTCAGCACATGGGGCTCACATGGGGCTCGAACTCACAAACCGCGAGATCGGGACCTGAGCCGAAGTCAGACGCTTAACCGACTGAGCCACTGAGGTGTCCCTGTCTTTATATTTAAACTGACTTCTTGCAGACAGCAAATAATTTTCTTATTTTTTAATCTAATCCATACTCTGTCTTTTAATTAAGGTGTTTGGACCATTCACATTTAGTAATTTTGTCCTTTGTTTTATCTTACTTTTTTTTTTTTTGGATTGGTTGCTTTTTAATTTTTTAATTCCATTTTATTTCTGTTTTACCTTTCTCTTTCTACGTGGTGGTTTCCTTAAGGTTTACGATATAATTCTTTAGCTCATCACAGTCTACCTTCAAATTTGTATCACACCCCTTCGTGTGTAATGTAAGAACTTTACAACAACATACTCGATTTTCTCCCTTCTATCCTTTGTGCCTTTGTTGTCATGTTTTATTACCACATGTGGTATAAGCACCAGCATATATGTCTGATATGTTTTTGCTTTAGCAAATCATTTATGTTTAAAACATAAACTTTAAAAGAGTTTTAAAAATGCGGGGAAAAAAAGTCTTTTTGCATTTGCCCATTTTCTTTTTACCATTTTTTGGCCTTCTTCATTTCTCTATGTAGATACAAAATGCTTGTCTGGTATTTACTTCTGCCTAAAGAATTTCCTTTAATTGTGTCTTGTAATACAGGTTGGCTGGCAATAAATTCTCAGCTTTTATCTGAAAAAGTCTATTTCTCCTTCATGTATTTCCCTTTGTTTAATTATTAATTATGGCAAAATATGTGTAACATAAAATTTACCATCTTAAACATGTTTAAGTGCACAGCTTAGGGATAATAATCCTTTCGCATTGCTGTGCAACCACAGCAATTTATCCACAAAAGTCTTCATTGTGCAGAACTGAAATTCTATACCCACTAAAATGATAGCTTCCTATTTTCCTCTCCTCCCAGCCTTTGTCTCGCAGCCAGCATTCTGCTTTCTGTCCCTATGGATTTGACTATTCTTAAGTACCTCATATGAGTGGAATCATATAGGGCTTGTCTTTTTGTGACTGGCTTATTTCACTTAGTGTATTGTCTGAAGGTTCATCCATGTTGTAGTATGTGTCAGAATTTCCATCCTTTTTAAGACTGAATAATATTCTATTGTATGTATTTACCATGTTTTGTTTATTTATATGTCAGTGGACACTTGGGTTGCTTCCACCTTTTGACTATTGTCAATAATGCTGCTGTGAACATGGGGGTATATGTAGCTCTCTGTGTCCTTGCTTTCACATCTCTTGGGTCTATCCCAGCAGTATTGCTGGAACATATGGTAATTCTATTTGTAATATTTTGAGGAGCTGCCATGCTGTGTTCCATTGTGACTGTACCATTTTGCATTCCTATCAGGTGTGCCCAAGGGTTCCAGTTTCTCCATATCCTTGCCAACACTTGTTGGCAAGCATCCTGATGGGTGTGTCTCCTTCGTTTTTGGTATTTCTGCTGGGTATAGAGTTTTGAGTAAAAAGATTTTTGGTTTCACTACTTGAAATAAAGATGCCATTCCATTATCTTCTGACTTGCCAAATATCTGCTGCCGTTCTTAATATCTCTGTTCCCCTCTATAATGATGTCTCCCCTCCGGTGCTGTTGTCTTCAAGATTTTCTCCATTAGCAGTTTGATTATTATATGCTTTAGCGTTTTTTTTATACTGTATTTTATCCTGCTGGGGTTTCCTCACAGCTTCTTGGATTTGTGGTTTGTTGTCTTTCATTAATTTCGGAAAACTCCTAGCCATTGTATTCCACTTATGTTCTGCTTGATGTGTTTTCTCTTTGGAACTCTGATTATAAATACTCAATTGTTTGAATTGTCTGAAGCTCTTAGATCCCCTATTCTTTTTTTTTTTTTTTTTTTTTTTTTTTTTTTTTTTTTTTTTTTTTTACCTTTTTTTTTCCTCTTTGTGTTTCCATTTGGATAATTTTTGTTGATCTAGCTTCAATGTCACTGACTCTTTTCTTGGCTATGTTTAGTCTGTGAATCTTAACAAAAAAAATCTTTATCTTTGATAGCATGTTTTTTTTCCCTGAGGTGTCCATTCGAATGCTGTTTTATAGTTTCCATCTGTCTGCTGATACCCCCTTTGTTCACGCGCATTGTCCCATAGTTTGTCCTGTACTTTCCCATATTCCAACAGCGGTTAATCATTTTGTGTGCTCGTCCTTCCTCAGAGGGGAGCCATCACCCTTGACGTTCAGTTCACTTGTTTGCCTTGTAACCTTGGCTCCCTAATGGACTCAAGAAAAGTTGTGATTTTGTAACTTCTGCTTTTCTTCTGCTCTATTAGGGTGGGAAAAACATTCTCTTCTGGGTTTCTACATGTTAAGTGACAACAGAACTGATATTTCAATTTAGATACACACTTTGAAGAATTCATACAAAGACAGCCTGACAGCTTTTAAAAGTTCAAGGAAATAAATGGAAAGCTACTTCAAAGAAAATTCTCTGTATTCAAAAAGTTAACCTTGGAATCTCTCTTTATAGATATTAAGTGTACTTGCTTAGTCATGATATAGAGATCATTAGGGGAATAATTTTCCTTGTTTCTTCCTTTCATGAGGCAGGAAACAGTACTATTTCAGTGGAGGGATGGATTAGTCTAGTATCTTTTCATGGTCCCAAGTTTGGTATGTCTTTGCAATTAGGAATTTTCGGGGAGGAGGGGCTCTTAGAGCCCCTATTATTTATCTCCAGTCCTCTTTCTTGTATAGTTATAATATAGTATTCTATAAGCCTGTCTGCACTGTTTTGTAATGATAGGCAAATGAAAATGTTTGATATTCCCTCACAAACTATTTCTTACTCTTCTCAGTCAATGTCACCAACAGTCTCCTTTCTATATATTTGAAAATTTCCGTAATAAAGAGTTAAAAATAAAATAACTTGAAAAAAATCTCCTTTGCACTTTTTTGGTTTTCAATGCCTAAGAGAAATGTCATGTGAGAAATTGGACATATAATAAGCCTGAAGCTCCTGATGCATGGGGATTAGAGGTAGCATTTGAAGGAATCATCAGCATATGAATGGTATCAAAGTCATGGAACCGAAAGTTCTTGCCTGGGAAGATTCCACCTTTGAGAGAAAGGGATAGAAAATGAGTAAGTGGTAAAGAGTGGAAGACAACAATGGAGAATATAGTGACACAGAAGCCAGTAAGAGACAGTGTTTTGAGGTGAAGAAAGTGATCAACTCAACAGTACTAAATGTTGGAGTACAATGAGGGCAGAGAATTTAGGTGAGCACTGTGGACTCAGGCAGTAGATTGGGAATCATCAGCCGGTGGATGGTTTGGGAAGTCTTCACTGTGGATACCTATGGATAGTAGATAAAGTGAGAAGGAGGTTGAGGGAGCCATGAAGAGTAAGCATAATGAGTTCCTAATATCTGTCCACCTATTGGAATTTATGTAGACAAAGTCTTTTATATTGGTTATCACTAAAATTCTCTAAGCACTGGAAACCCACTCACATTTCTACTCATAAAGAGGTTTAAAACAAGCAAACAAAAATATTTATGTCTCTGGAAATCTGAATTAAAAGAGCAATGATTTGGATGAGCAGGTGAGTCTTACCGTGACAGTTTGACAGTATTTGGGTTTATGGTAATTCATCTAGTGTCTTTCTGAAATCTCCAGCATGCCTTGGGAATGAGCTATTGTTCATATAAAATTCCATGATACTATAGTAACGGGATTTGTTTATCTTGCCACATACCATTGATGAGATCTTTATCTTAAACGCTTTGTCTAGAAGCCATTGCAATGGAGAATCAAGTGTAGTTTACATTTTTCAATACTTTCCTACCCACCTGGAAAAGCAAAAGTATAAATCAAATGCTTAAGTTATGATCAGCTCTGTGGGAAGGGAGGAGACCTCAGCTTTACCTTGAAATCATTATGTATACTGGAAGGAAATTGATTTAATGGAATCACCATAAAACTAGACAGAAAACCTCATTTTGTTCGTTGCACCAGGACGTGTGCCAACATTGCTTCATCTTTGGCCTTTGCTATATCCTGTTTTGTTAAGTTAAAAAGCAGCTCATTGGTCTTAAATTTATTTGGTGTCCACTCCATTAGTAAGAAATTTCTTTCTAGATGGATGAATGGATGGATGGATGGATAGATAGATAGATAGATAGATAGATAGATAGATAGATAGATATAGATATCTTTAAAGTGACTGTGTTACCACTGTTCTAGTATAATCAATATATTATAAAGCTCATGCAGAATGAAGACATTTGAAAAGGATGAGAGAAAAAAATGAATCATCTGAATTTATATAGAGAGACCATTTGTGTTTTTAGAGAGATAGGGGTTGGTTCTTTCTAATTACGGTTATAATGTATCCTTCAAGTTCTTGTATATGATATCTAAGCTATAAAAGAATTATATATACAAGTTCCAGAAGTAATTGTCTACATGTATGGCTAATATTATTTATCCGGGGCCTCATATAAGTTTTTCTAATCAGGGAAATTTTGCTAAGCGAATAAACAAAAACTTACAATATTTTTCATTATGGTTTGTTAATGAGTAAGTTTGCAATCATAATGGTCAATGTTAAAGTTTCATTATGAACCCTAATTTTGATATGCTTGTTTTTCTTTCAGATGACATTAAAGTATCAGTAAACGATTTTATTATCAAGGCAGCAGCTGTTACCCTTAAAGTAAGTAGCAGACCCCAAATAATTTTGGCTTCTTTTAGTCTCATGTTGGGGCGGCTGGGTGGCTCAGTCGGTTGTGCGTCCGACTTTGGCTCAGGTCATGATCTCATGGCTTCTGAGTTTGAGCCCCGTGTCGGGCTCTGTGCTGACCGCTCAGAGCCTGGAGCCTGCTTCAGATTAGAAGTGTCTCTCTCTCTGTCTCTGTCTCTGTCTCTGTCTGTCTCTTTCTCTCTCTCTGCCTCTCCCTCAGTCGTGCCCTCTCTCTCTGTCTCTCAAAAATTAATAAACATTAAAAAAAATTTTTAAATAGTCTCATGTCTTGGGAGTTTTATATGATAAATGGAACTCTGATTTTTAAGTCCCCAAAATTTTATAACATTATTGCTAAAAATATATCATGTAGTCTCACCCCCTCAGTAATACAAATGAAACTGAGAATCAGTGGGGCGTACGACTAATTATAGCAGAACAGAGACCATTCAGCAAATACGAATTGATCCCCGGTGTTGTGCTGAGTACTTTGTAGGCATTAGAGGTACAATAGTGAACGAACGCCTACATGTTTTCCGCTCTCCTGGGGCTTACACTCTGGATGGAAGAGACCGGTATTTGTCAGATAGTGAAAGTGTTGAGGAGCAAGAGAAAGCGGAGTAGGGGTGTCGTTGTGCACAGTTAGGCAAGGAAGGCCTCTTTGGCAAGGTGATAACTGAGCCAAGGCCCAAAAAAGAGGGTGTGAGCCACAGACACACCTGGTAGAAGAGTGCTCCAGGCAGAGGGAACTGCAGACGCAACGGCTGGGAGGGGCAAGTGCTGCCTTTGAGACATGGCCCCAGGGACAAAGTGTGCCTCGAAGAGAGAAGGTAGGAGATGAGATTGAACAGATGATATTAAAAGAGGGAATGTGGAGAGGGCCCTGAAGTAGGTGAAGCCTTGGTGGCCATGGAAAGGACTAGGGATTTTATTATGAAGGGGAAGGAAGCCTTTGGAGGGGATTGAAAGAGGACTGACCGTCTACTTCACCTTTACAAAGAAAAAGGAGTGACTGTTCTGGTGGTTTGAGGAATGCAGCCTGTAGAGAGGCCAGGGGGCAGCAGTGCTCTCCTGGGAGGCTGTGGACCCTGACAGTGGTGTGGACTCAGGTGGCAGCTAGGAGGGTGGCTAGGGTGAAGGTGAGATTTTGGGTATGTTTCAAAGTAGAGCCAACAAAATTGACTGATGGATTGGATGTGGAGTGTGAGAGAAAGGACAAGGGCTTTAGCCCAAGCATTGGGAGGAATGGAGCTTTCCACGTGCAGAGATTGGGAATGTGAGAGAGGAGCAGGTTCGAGGTAGGAGTTCTAGAGTTGGATTTGGACATAACTCAGTTCGAGAAGCCAAATGGTGTCCCATTGGAGGGGCCAGGAAGGCAGGTGAGCGGTGGGGTGTCTGGCTGGACACGTAGATTGGAAACCCAGGCTTCCTGCCTTCCTGCTCTGCACCATTTTCTGTCCTGCCTTTCTTTCTATAACCAGGCTATTTTTCTGGATCACTGCGTATTAAGTGCTATATTTAAAGTATGCTTATAAGGAATTTGTTTTTATTTCTTGGACAATACAGTAATGGAGAATTTTAAAGTCATGCCTTTTCTTAGCCATTCGTATCTAAGGGTTCACATGCTTTTGTGTTTTGACCAAATAATATTTTGAATTGTATTAGTGATTTTCTAATTATGAATCATTCTTGCCCTCCTTAAGTGAATCTCCAGTGGCCATTACATTTCATTTCATAATTTTGTATTAGGAACCGTGATTGTAATTTAAATTTTGTGCTAATTTTATCAGGTTTTTTTTAAATCAGTGGTTTCTTAAAATGAATTTGGATCCTTTTTCTCTTTCCTTTCTCTGTACTTTTTTTCTTTATTATAAAGATTTTTATTTCTTGAAGTTTATAGAATTCACCAATAAAAATATCTCAGCCTAGTTCTATTTTGAGGAGGTAGACTTGATGACTTTCTCATTTTCCCCCATAATTATTGAGCTGTTTAATTTTCAGCGTTTTCTTGAATCACTTTTGGAAACTTCTATATTCCCAGAAAATCATTTCATTCTGGATTCCCAAGCTTAACTAGCCTAACGTTATTTAAATGTTTCTTCTAATATCGTAATGTCCTCAAGGCTGGCATTATTCTAGACCCTGTCTCGCTGTTATTAATGTATATTTGTGTGCTCAGTCTTTTATATTGTTTATGTATTCCTTCCGTCATTTCCTTAGCTGCAGAGTAGAATTAGATTAGACTTCGGTTGAAAATATTTTATTAGAAAATGTGAAATAATGATTATAAATACGAATAAGAAAGTTTAAGGGTATGAATTTTCCTTTGCCTACAACTGAGACCATGTCCCCTGGGCTTTTGTTGCATGGCTGCGTAATTACACTTCTTTTGCCAGATATTCCTTACTTGGGAGGGGCTTTTCTTCCCCCTCTTTTACTTTAGCGTCGTCCGTAAGAATTTTAAATCTTCAGGGGGTTTGCGACTTCGCCGTGTCTGATTTTGACAAATGAGCTTTGATGACTTCGAATGAACGAGCAGCAGGAGTGAACATAACAGGCCGGGGAGGGGCACAGTGGGAAAGGCCTCTTCGGGGAGGGCTCAGAAGTACACTTAGGTAGGCTGTTACCCAAGCGAAGAGTGGGAAGAGAAGTTCGTCTGTGTTTGCGGTTTTTCACCATCGCTTTCTCCGATACTTGACAACAGTGTCAGTACACACGGTCTCCAGGCGTTTAGCCATTTCCTCTGCTCTTTTCGTCTTCCGCGTAGCTGTATGTATATGAAACACATGCATGCTCATACACAGTATCTGTCATATGTTGGTGAAGCCTGGGAAATCTCTCTTAAATACAGAAGTCACTTATTAGGGGCCGGATGATACCCGCCAGGGCTGCGCTAGATAATTGCGCCGTCTACATGCCTCGGGAATTATGTGGCTGAATGTTGCTACCCGCTCCCCTCCCTTCTTCTCTTCTCCTTAAGGCCATGTTGGTCACTGTATGAGGCAGGAAGTGTGGCAAATGTTAAATGCTTTTTAGTAATCAGATTTAACAAAGGGAGACTTTTTTTAGCCATGATTTAGTATACAGCGATCAAAACAGGTCCATCAGTGTTTCCTGAAGCTTGCTTCAAAAAAGTTGGTATGTTTATTCTTCCCAAACATAGACGACATTTAACACTGAGATCCAAATCATTGCTTCAAACCAGATCTTCATTTGTTTGCTCTGTCCACCTATATTCACTTTCAAAAATGCAGAATAATTTTAGTTATTTTTCTGTAACCGCCTTACTCTACAGCTGCTTCTTTAGTGACGTGTTTTTTCTATTTCTGTTTCATAGCAAATGCCAGATGTTAATGTAAGCTGGGATGGAGAGGGCCCAAAGCAACTGCCCTTTATTGACATTTCAGTGGCTGTGGCAACAGATAAAGGTTTAATTACGCCAATCATAAAAGATGCTGCCGCTAAGGGTATACGGGAAATTGCTGACTCTGTAAAGGTATGTCTTAGGAAATACTGTGCTTTCAAAATGTTAGTATTTACTCTCTGGTAAAGTCTTGACGTGATCTAGTCATATTGTGATAGAGATATTTATGTATTAGTATTTTCAAGTGATTGTCAATTGTGTATGAAAGTTTTTAAGGTTTTATCTAGGTAGGAACCATTTTAAGAAAATTTAATATTCAAAAATTCAGAAATAACATACAGATAGATTAGGATCTACTGTATTCAAGTTACAGGTGAATGCTTTATTTCCCAAAGTCGAGAATTCCACTCTAAAGATGATATTTTAGATAGTTTTAAAGTTAAAGCTGAAACTGTATTTCTGTGAAGGTGGTGAGTAGATCTCACTGTTCACAGTGTTTTATTCTTCAAAACTAATTTTATTCATTTCCTCTCTAGAATTGAGACCACTAAAAGTCCTTCATTTTCCAGAAGCAAAAGTACTGGATTTTTCCTGAGTTTCTTTAAAAGCAGTTTTTCTAGCTCCAATATGGAGGAGTGGGATTTCCCCCAGAATATCCCATTGAACCGCATGGGAACACGGGCAATAGATCGGCTCTGACAGCCTGTATAATTTCCAGAGGTATTTTTTGACGGAAGTGTCACCTCTCTTACAGCATTAGAATTGAATATTGCAGACTCATTTAGATAAATGATTCTTCTCTTTTTTTTATTTACCAAAGACCAGTTGTATATACATAGTGGACGAGCAAGTATACTTTTAAAAGTAGAAGATAAGATTTCTTTGGGGAGCTGACAGTGTACACGTCGTAGATGTACTTGCCCAAAATACACGAACACAAGTTAATCCGCTTTTAAAAGCATACTCTTAGAATCTTCGAGTTAGATACAGTTAATGCTGGCCTTAGTGGAATGGACATTGTTAGCTCTTTCTTTGCTCCTCTTTGAAAAGATTAGCAGAATGTGTTTTTATAGATAAAAATGCAACTGTTTTTCTTAATTGAGTGGTGACTTAGTTCGACCAATTCAGAAGTCAAAGTAAGATACGTTGGTTTACTAAGATAGTTGTGTGCCTTTTAGTCATCAAAAGTTTTCAACAACAATGAGAATACATGTATTATTAGTGTTTTTGTGAAATCCAAATGAGGTTAAATTTCACTATAAAGTTAGAATTTTCTTATGTATTTTTATATCTTATTTTTAATATTTATGTGTTTCTTATATATTAAATTTTTAAAATTAAGCATCATAGGAAAGTCTCTTTGCTTTTGACCAGTTTACTAATTTTACTATGATAATGCATAGTTCTTAAATTAGCAGTGTTAGCGTTCCCATTTTCTTATATCCTGAAAGAAGCTAAGTTGAGGTGTAAGGAAGCAGTGTGAGCAGCCTCTCCGCAGTGGGAAGGGCAGCCTTGACCCTTTGGAATGTTCTAGGGCCTCTGTGACAGTCCTTGAGCTTTTCCTGTAATTCCTGGCACCCTTAAGTTTCAGTGTGCGCTGGCTGCTCCTCTATGCTTCTTATTCTCCCTGCTTCTCTCTCCCACCCTCTCCCACCCTCTCCCACCCTGCCGCCTGTGACCAACACCCCACTCTCTCTTCTTAGCATGTGTGAGACAGCAGGCTAAGCACGGTATTTAATCAGCCCAGTATCATAGTTGAAACTTTAATTCCCCCATTTTGAAATGGAGGAAATGGAGTTTTAGTGCCGTTAAGAAATCTGCCCACGGTGATGCATCTAGAAAGCAGTAGAGGTGAGGTTTTATTTAAATCGGGGCATTTCACAATTCATGAGCCATTTTCTCAGGGCTCCTGTGGCTTCCATTGCTGAAGTAGCTTCCTGACGTTATCCTGTGTTATTGTGTTCCTGCAGTTGATCATTCTCTGAGATCACCTCATTTCTTTATTTGTTGATCCTTCTCTGTTCCTTCCTGTCTGATGTTGACGGTCTTGCTCTTGCCATATATCCAATTCTAGAAGAAAGAGTGCATGGAGATAGTAGGTGCTCCGTGAATTTATTTGTTTAATTTTCAATAAAAACTTGTATTGAAATGAACTTTTCAAGGAGTTTGCGGGTCTCTGGAGCTCCATCTGTGGACCAGGTTAATACCTGCACTAAGTTTTTACTTCTTGACCCTCACTAACCTTAAGGATGTCATTGTGTGGTGCTAAAGGCATGCCTTAGCTAAGTTCAAGTTTTTATTCCCTAAATAAAGTAATATAGTAACAAGCCTTAGATCCCATGCTTCATTAGTTATAACATTTTAAAAGACAGAGGCAAAGTTTTCCTCGATGTACCCGGTATGTTTTTTAAATGAGTTAGTAAGGAATGTGACATATTTTAGAAATATTTCCTAGTCATCTTGTATTACATCCTTTCGGCACGAGGCTTCAGGTAACATGTGTTTTGATTTTAAGTTTACATTACTGGGAAATCCCAGTGAGAATTAGGAATTTGTAAAACCAGTGATGCTCCTCAGAATTATTCTTATGCCAGGCTTTTAGCGTTCATTGATAGGAGTATCCTGCTGATATGTTTACAGTCTACAGAGAGATGTTTTTTTTAAGTGTATTATGTGGGCTTGCAGTCCAGTTTTTAAAATGAACATGTGTTTTATTTGTTTTAGCCTAGTAATTCATCAGGATTGTTGTGATCATCTGCCTTTAAAGAACTGCCTTTCAATCAATCAATCAATCGATACCTTTCTTTTTTTTTTTTTTTTTTTTTT